AATTCATACTTTCCAGCAAGGGTGCATTAAATTGTTCAAAAGTGACAGAAAGCAAATGTGAAGTGTTACAAAATATATATTTTAAATTGAATTATATGTTTTTCCCAGCATACACATATATATATATATATATATATAATATATATGTGTATGCTGGGACCAAACTCTCCCACTCATTCGCTGCAAGCCCCCAGATATCAACTAAAAAACGGCGGGCCCCCCAACCACCAAAGCCTGTGGGCCCAGCTCCTGTAAGAGCTCTCCGGCCGCTGCCACAGCGCCATGTGGGCCCAGCTCGTCCTCCTCCTGTGAGAGCTTTCCGGCCGCTGCCACAACGCCAGGGCCCAAACCCTCCTCCATCTATTCTAGGTGAACCAAAAACAACTGATAACAGCTCTCAGTGATATGTGTCGGGTCCCCGCTATGATAGCAGCAATATTCACAAATGTTTACAGAACAAGCGGGAACCCAGTGTGCCTGTAGCTTTCTATATTTCTGTTTTATCACGTGATAGAAAGTCTAAGGCCATCTGAAGCCGTACGGCTGACCCATCTAATCTGCGGCCTATTACGCATCAAACTAAGATTGCTGTAAAGACACAAAGCAATGCCATCAAGTTAGCATTTTTAAACATTCGCTCACTAAAAATAAATCATTTCTAATCAATGACTTAATTACCACAAAAAACCTGGATTTTATGTTTCTAAATGAAACATGGCTAGAAGACAGCTGCAGTGCAACGGTCCTCAATGAAACAGCCCCTCCTAACTAGTTCACTGAAATGTTATCAATGATTTCCTCAGAGTTTAACTGTTTTGCTATTGCAGGGGATTTTAATATTCACATAGATAATGCAGAAATCAAAACTACAAAAGAAATTATAACAGTTTTAAACATGTTTGACCTGATTCAGCATGTGCATGGACCCACACACAGTCAAGGACACACTCTAGATTTACTCATCAGTAAGGGTCTAAACATCTCATCCAGCACTTTGTTAACGTAGCCGGCGCCGCTAAATATGGTACATTTGATGTGAGAGATGCTCAAGTCTGGGACCGCAGTCAGTCAGCAATATACTTTTCCTTCATAGTAATATGGAGTAAGCAAAGCAAGGCCCAGTGATCAAATTCATTTGTTTGTTTAGTAGTCTACGTTATTTTTTTTATTATTTTTTTGTAGTATTATTTATTTTATTTTTTGCAATAGCCTGTTAAGCAAGCTATTGTGAATGTGAAATCTGTGAGATATTTAAGCATTCTATTTATTTTATTTATTTCGTTTTGAATTTAATTTGTTAAAATTATATCTAGCCTATTTTCAAAGTTCTCTGTTTATTTATTTAATGTTAAAGTTATTTCCTAGTTAATTGTTTGGTGCGTGTGTATGCAGTAGGCCTAGCCTGCGTTTAAAAACTGAGGTGCCGCTAGTTGCTGTTTTGTTTGGACGGTTAATGTTTTATAAGCTAATAAAAAAATACCCAATGTTTTTGTCATGTGTGGTGCTTTGGTTTTTTAAAGGCAGAGTAAGGGATTTCTGGTAGTCAATGTTTATATTTGAAATCACCAAAACAAACACGCCCCTACCCCAAAAGGGTCTTGCCCCTATTTTGATAGCTCCGCCCCACATATACGTACGCAACCCAGGCAACGATTAGTTCTGTGAAACAAAGCAAAACCAATGTTACACCGTGTCTACATCGGACGTGAGCGGCGCGGCGCAACAAATCCCGACAGAAAACTGCTGCCGGGTTCTGTTTATGACGTGCTGACACAAATTTCAAATGGTTTTCAACGGTCGTTTGATCGCGTCCAGTGTAGTCAGACTTTAGCTGTTGTAGACACGGTGACCTCGGCGTCCGATCGCAGGCCTCCGCTCCTTGAGTTCTCTCCAGCACTGGAAAGCTGATCCAATATTTTACACGGGTCCTACTTCTTGCCTTATCTTTCCGCAGACGTTTTCCTCTTTTGTTTTTTTATCCGCCATCTCTATCTTTCTGTCGCTCGGCTCGGCTAATGTCCGTCCCATGCACTGAACGCGCTCTCCTCCACATCACGAGTAGACACGCCCCTTATTGCTGATTGGCTACAAGTTTGTTTTGCGATTCGGCCCGAATCAGTTTTCTAAAGTGTTTTTGAAAAATCACTTACTCTGCCTTTAAATCGTCAACCTGCTATCTTGACACACTTCCAACTTTTTTCAAAAGGGTGCTTAGCTGTTTAGAAGCAGATCTCTTAGAAGTGGTGAACACCTCACTTCTTTCTGGGACTTTTCCAAACTCCCTGAAAACTGCAGTTGTTAAGCCCCTTCTGAAAAAGAGCAATCTTGATAACACCATTTTGAGCAATTATAGACCAATATCAAATCTTCCTTTTATAGGCAAGATTATTGAAAAGGTAGTCTTTCTAAAACATTAGTCACATTTAAATCTAGACTCAAAACTCATCGGTTTAGCTGTGCATTTATTGAATGAGCACTGTGCGATGTCCGAACTGATTGACTGTATTTTATGTATGTATTATCATTTTCTGTTTTTAACTGTCTTAAATTCATTTTAAATTCCTTGTTTTATTTTTGTGATTATTTTTTATGATTAATTTACTTTCTTTTATGTGAAGCACTTTGAATTACCATTGTGTACGAAATGTGCTATATAAATAAACTTGCTTTGCCTTGCCTAAATGAATGCTGCTCTTTTGAACTTTCTATTCATCAAATGATCTTGGTTTCCTCAAAAATAAAATTAGCAGCAAAACAGTTAGGCATTGATAATAAAAATGTTGCTTGAGCATCAAATCAGCATATCAGAATTATTTTTGAAGGATTATGTGAAACTGAAGACTGGAGTAATGGCTGATGAAAATTCAGCTTTGACATTGCAGGAATAAATTACATTTTAAAATACATTCAAGTAGAATGAAGAGGTTTTTTTTAGTTTTTTTTTTTTACATAGTTATGATATTTCACGGTATTAATGATTTTGTATTTTTGATCAAATAAATGTAGATTTTGTGAGTATAGGAGACATTTTTCAGAAACATAAAAAAAAAATCTTCCCTTTTTTATTATTGTTAATTTTTATTCATCCCTTTTTATCTCAGATGGTGGATGATCAGTGCAGTCACTTTAACAGTATTGAGCTGTTGAAGTCCAGGCCCACCCACCTACTGGTCTTCATTCATCATGTCATGTTACAGTTTGACTGTGCTCCTGTGGTAAGAACTTAAACGATGTGTGCCTGTTTATTTTTGTCAGAGCGCATACATGCATTTAATTTAGTATGTGAGGCTCATGTGTTTCTTACAGTACCTCTTGTTCAGCTATGAATGTTATGTGTGTGTTGGGGGGGGGGGGGGG